CTCCATAGCTTCTGGCTAAAAATTTTTAAAAAAAAAAAATAGGGACTGAGTTAGTGGAAAAAACTTCTAGAGTCCCAAGCAGTTCCCCTTAAAGAACCCAAAAAGGACTTACTCAGACTCATTTCTTCTGAGTTCCAGCATCGGGGTAGCAGCTTGAAAGGTGCCAGTAGCATACAAGAAGAATTGAAGTATCTGGCATCAAGGTAAAAACTGGGGGGCAGCTTTTCCGACAGAAAGGTAGGCAGAGGCCATTGTTTCTTTTCTGAACCCTACCCCATAGAGCCACAGAGCCAGCAGGCATGTGCCATATCTGAAACTCCTTCAACCTGGCTAACAATGTTCACCCCACCCTGGAGATTTCCTGAGACTCCATCCCACCCAAGCTGTTACCAGAACTTTTCCATATGAATGGCTGGTCCTGGCTCATGCATCACAACTTCCTAAAACCTCTCAAACAAGCAACCTCTTAGCAAAGCTGGCCTCAGTGAGTCCCCAATCCCCCTAACCTCTTGCTGGGTGGCACCAGGCCCAGCACTAGCAGCAGTCAGCCTAGATTCACAGCTTTTCTTCACCTGGGAACCTCCAAGCACAGTAAAAGTAGTAGCCATCCGAGACTGCTTTATAACCCAGGCAGGGTGGCCCTGGGCAAACACAGGTAGGGGCTGACCTTGGCCTGCATCACCCAGGGAACTCCAGAGCCTGTGCATCTAGGAGACAGCCACAAAACACACTGACGCACCACCACCCTGCCCCTGCACAGTTGGCCCTCCCCAGAGGGCAGAGGTTGGTGGTAAGTGCGCATGACCAGACCCTGTAACTGACTAGCCTGGGTAAATCCCTCCCACTGACCTGTCAACAGCCATCAAGGTTCAACTATGAGAAGAGGGTGTACTCAGCCCACAGAGGGCACACCCTAGAGTACCCAGCTTGGGTTACAAGTGAAGCTGTGTCACTGGACCTTATAGAACACCTACTACATTAAGCCACACTACTAAGATAGAAAGTCATAGCAATCCTGCCTAATACATAGAAATAAACACAGGGAGGCTGCCAAAATGAGGAGACAAAGAAACACGGCCTAGATGAAAGCACAGATCAAAACTCTAGAAAAAACTAAACAAAATGGAGATAAGCAATCTATTAGATGCAGAGTTCAAAACACTGGTCTTAAGGATGCTCAGGGAACTTAGTGAGAACCTCAACAGCATAAAAAGATCCAGTCAGAAACAAAAGATTCACTAATTGAAGTAAAGAACAATTTACTGGGAATCAACAGTAGAGCTGATGAAGGCAAGAAATGAATCCATGATTTGTAATATAAGGAAGCAAAAATAACCAATCAAAACAACAAGAAGAAAAAAGAATACAAAACAAAGAAAATAAGGATACTGTCTGTAATCAGCCACTGGAACAACTTTAAGAGTTCCAACATTTCCATCATAGGAGTGCCAGAAGAACAGAAAGAGCAAGATACTGGAAATTACTTTAAAAAGTAATGAAAGAAAACTTCTCTAAGTTTTCTATTTGGTGTCTATTTGGTGAAGGAAATAGACATACAAATCCAGGAAGCACAGCGAATCTCAAACAAGATAGATCCAAAGAGGCCCACTCCTAGACACTTTGTAATTAAAATGCCAAATGTTAAAGATAAAGAGAGAATCTTAAAAGCATCAAGAGAAAAGCAGTTAGTTACCTACAGGGTAGTTCCCATAAAACTGTCAGCTTATTTCCCAAAAGAAACTTTGCAAGCTAGAAAGGACTGGCAAGAAATATTCAAAGTCATGGAAAGCAGGGACCCATATCCCAGACTGCTGTACCCAGCAAAAATATCATTTAGAATTGAAGGGCAGATAAAGAGCTTCCAGATAAGAAAAAACTAAAGGAGTTTATCATCACCAAATCATTATATGAAATGTTAAAGAGACTTGTTTAAGAAAAAGAGTATCAAAACTATGAACAATAAAATGGCAATAAATACATATCAATAATTGAGTCTAAGAAAACAAACCAAGCAAACAAGAACAAAGGCAAATTCATGGATACGGTGAACATTCTTATGGTTGTCCAAGGGAAAGGGGTTGTGGTGGTATGGGTGAGGAGGTGAGGAGATTAAAACGTACAAATAGGTAGGTACAGAATAGTCATGGGGATGTAAAGTACAGTATAGGAAACTGAGTAGCCAAAGAACTTATACACATGACCCATGGACCCCATGGACATGAACAGTGGTGTGGGGATTGCCTGAGGGAGTTGGGGGTGCTGGGTGGAGGGGAGTAAAGGGGGAAAAACTGAGTCAACTGCAACAGCATAATCAATAAATTATAATTTGAAGAAAAACAAATAGTGTCTTAAATACTTATGACTCTCTGAAGACAATGTAAACTGTTATGAAAACATCCGTGGCAGACAGAAGGGAAGTTACCTATTTCAGTCAAGTATTTTTTTAAAGTATGGTTACATATACAATGCAAGTTACTCTCAAAATATAGATAAAATATTTCCTGCTTTGAGAAACTTAACAATACTAACTGTAAAGGACAAATAGCCACATGAACTTAAGAGATCATTTAGTCCACATCCTTGATAACAACCTTTTACTTTTGAAGCTTTACAAAACACACAAATGAAAATCTCTCTTCTATTTAATTTAATTCCCGAAACCAATTTCAACCTCTTTTTCTATGAGGAAATTAAAAGCAAGTGGTTTCCATGGTCTGCAAGAATGCTTTGGTAATTATTGAGCAATCTACCTATACTTACCTTTTATACAAAAGAAAAAAATACAGTCTTTGCTTAAAATAAAATGCTTTGTATCCCCTTCAAATGCTTTGAAGATCAATTGGTTAAAATTAAAGATGACCCAGAAGGTAATGAAAATATCCTGTGTACTGAATGAATTCAACCTGTCATTTCTGTATGATGACACGAGACATAATATTTTCTAATTAACTGCCTTTACTCACCAAGCATCCTTGGGTTACAACCTGGGTTTTCTATGTAGCTTTCACTCAATAAAAAATGGGCTCATCAACCACTCCCTATTCCTAACCTCTTTGGGGTTAACTGGCATTCTGATTTATAGATAATCTCCTGTGTATTGAACAATGTAAGTCTCTCCTCTAGAGATAAATCACCTCTTAGCATGTTTATAAACAGTTTCTAGTTTTGTAAAGGACATCATTAAAATCGAAAATATACTAGAGCAAAGTACAATCACCTTTGTTAAACCCTTTCTGGGTATCCAGCTGGGGTGCACATTTATGCTGTTCACCACTTCAAAATACAATACAGGCTGTAAAAATACTGGTCAACCTACTGACTGTTATTCCAAAACCAATAATGCTAACAACTTCAATGTAGATATGGGAGAAAAAAGCAGTTTAACATTCTTAACATTAATGAAGAATTAATATTGACATCACCAAGCAGATTACAAACATGCAAATAACTCACTATCACCTGTTTTTAAAAAACAACAAAAATTAAATTATTTTAATTCATAATGTGGAAATTTTCCTTTAACTTTTGGGGGAATATATGCTGATGTTAATATTTTTCAGTAAAGAAAAATTTCCTGTAATATCAAGACACCACTTTTAATTTTACAAAACAACTGAGAAGGTTCTGTCCCGGTGATATTTTACTTTTACCAGTACCACTCTGGTGGCCACTTTTACTGGAATATATTAACAATCCCCAAATGTATTTTGCTTGGCAACTTCTTTTCAGAAATAAAACCATTTAGAAACTGTTCTGTGTAAAAGACCAACCAAGTCATCTATCCTTTAGGAATATTTTAAAAATGAGTATTGTGCCCTGGCTGGTGTAGCTCAGTGGACTGAGTGTGGGCCTGTGAACCAAAGGATCGAGGTTTGATTCCCAGTCAGGGCACATGCCTGGGTTGCAGGCCAGTTCCCAGCAGGGGATTCACGAGAGGCAACCATACATTGGTATTTCTCTCCTTCCCTTCCTCTCTAAAGATTAATAAATAAAATCTTTAAAAAAAAATGAGTATTGTCCTGGCTGGCGTAGCTCAGTGGATTGAGCACTGGCTGAGAACCAAAGGGTCACCGGTTCGATTCCCAGTCAAGGCACAGGCCTGGGTTGCAGGTCAGATCTCCAGTAGAGGCCACATGAGAGGCAACCACACACTGATGTTTCTTTCCCTCTCTTTCTCCCTCCCTTCCCCTCTCTAAAAATAAATAAATAAAATCTAAAAAAAAAAAAAAAAAAAAAAAGTATCTCTTTCCTGGTATTCCAAGATCCCAGCATTTATTTCTCTGTAAGCACTACAGTTGGCTCTGTAAATGCCAAATTCATAAGAACAATTACAAATGTAACCATTTTCCTATGAATTAGAATTTAACTATTACAAATAATTATATGAACAAAATATGAAATTACAAAATCAGTTATTTTACATTTATTTGCTAAATTGGCAAAAACTGAAAAAAATATTGTGAAAGAAATGAAGACAGATGAAGAGTAGTCAAGAGAAATGAAACAATTATGAAAAAAGAAAAAAGTCACATTAGTTAGAATCACATATAAAAAATGTAAAATATGGCCAGAGTTAACAGAAATCTAAGAATATTGGACAGATAGCAATTCCAAGTAACTTCCCAACTTTAGTATATTAATATCTTAAAAACTCTCAAAAGTTGTATTTTGCTTATGTCCCTTAGAACCATATGGTATAATATGCTACAGGGTTAGGCGTAATCACCACATCACTTGTTCACGGTAAACTAGAGAGCATGCATGGGTATCTACAAGTTACTTCGGACTTCACCCAAACTGGCATGTTGTTTTCATGATGGCAACTGCATTTGTTTGGCTCTTGGTATAAGAAGTCAATAGTGAAATTTTAAAGGATTCTGAAAACCCCTGCTTATGCCAGATCCTATGCACCAGTCTAAAGGCAGAATTTAATATTCTGAAAACACTATAAGTGGATTCTAAAAAGAGCTTAGTAAAATTGCTTAAAAGGTTTACATTACTTTTAAAAGCATCTGTTGCTCCAGGTGCATGGTTTTTGTCTGGATGAAACTTCAAAGCAAGCTTTCTATAAGCTTTTTTCAAATCTTCATCACCAGCATCTTTGGTAACTCCAAGTACTTCATAGTAATTTTTACATTTGTTTATGCTGTGAACAAGAGAGTGTGTTATAATGAAAATTTCAAGGAAGAAGTTCATATAATACTGTAATGCCTTATTTATTAGAATAGTATAAAGAACTGTCTGTGGACTATTTTCTCAGTATCAGATGATAGTTGATCATGTTAAGGGTTAATACTTTATTCTGTTTTTCAACCACAGACTATTCCTCCAGCCTCTTCCCAGTCTAAGAGGAACTGACCATGAGTATGTCCTTGGTGTAATTTGTCACAACTATAGAACAGTAAAGCAAAGTCCATAACAATTGTGGATGAAGGACGGAGCACAGAACTGTAACTGAAATGAGAGAAAAAGAACACGTTTACTGTATTTTTAAGGTCATAAAGAAATTCAAGCCCTGGCTAGTATGGCTCAGTGGATTTAGTGTAAGCCTGTGAATCGAGAGGTCATGGGTTTAATACCCAGCTGGGGCACATGCCTGGGTTGCATGCCAAGTCCTCAGCTGGGGGAGTGCGAGAGGCAACTGATCAATGTATCTCTCACATGTTGATGTTTCTCTCCCTCTCTTTTTCTCTCCCTTCCACTCTCTCTAAAAATAAATAAAATCTTTTTTTAAAAAAAGGAATTCAATAATCCTCACAGGTTATGTTGCAGCTAAGGAATAGTATCCATTACACTCCAAGAATTTTACTGTTCCATAATATATATCTAACCAACTATCAAATCAACAGTTCTAGTGCATGTAAAACAATTACAGCACACTATGGTTGAAATGTCAAGGCAAGTTAATTCAGCTCGGCCACGCTAAAGAGAATTAATCATCTGTGAAAGACAAAAGCTCTTAATAAAATATATCATGGGACCCCAAAATGTTTGTTAACCCCAGTTTCATCATGAAGAGCATACTCTTTAAAATTACAGTTAAGTCCTCACCTGATGTTGTTATTAGGTTCTGTGATTCCAATTTTACCAGAGGCTAGTTGACACAAACAAGAGTTAAGTTCCTATAGCATCTCACCAACAGTATGAAACAATGTTGAATGAATCATTATTATTCAATGACCTACTGTATGCATAGTTTATAACCCTGAAGATGTAACCAATTTGAATCTGGTATCTTTAATGTGTATTATGAAAAGAAATACTCGGAACAGAGAACATTAATACTTTTGGATGCTAACATTCTCCCACAACCTCATAATTTTTCTTCACTAAAATCCAGGTATATTTTATATATTTTTTGTGCCATACTTGGTGATTTTAGATGTGTTCCAATGTGAGTGGCTTGATGACAGAAGTAGTAACAGGTAAAAGGATCTGAGGCACAGTTGTTCACTGGCAGCTGAACCACTGTGCCTTGGAGTATCTAAAGTATTGCAAACACTGACTCACAGTTTTCAAAGAAAAGAGTCAGGATTGGTCTTTTTTTTTTTTTTAACTGCTAAACATATTAATCATTACACTACTTGGTACAGGAATAGGTTCTCAGTAAGTATTTCTGGAATAAATGGTCTCAGCTGTTCTTTTATAATGAAAGCATTCATTTGGTATATAAAACAGCAAGAGAAAAAACTGTAAGATTATAGAAGTTTGTCTATATCACATCGACAAAAATTTGTTACACAGTCTTTCTAGTAACAATAATTAAAATTGGATTTTTCTACTTTAGATATTTAATATTAACACAAGTTAATTTTATTTCGTGAATGTGACATTCCTTTTATTTAGGCAACAGTATTTACTGAGTACCAACTATGTCCCAAACAGTGTTCAGGGACCTGAGATATATTAGTCAAGAAAACAGAGAACGATCCTGCCGTGGCAGAGACTCACTCCCCTAAATAAGATGAGAAACTATGTAGTAGAAAAAAAGGAAAGGACTCATTTGTAGAACACCTACTGTTTGTCAGGCACAGGTCCACAATCCCATACCCATGTTCTAATATTCATTAAGTCCTGAAAACTGTGAAATTATTCCATCACTAATCTGACTGCAAAAACCTGACTTGAACTTTTTTAAAGGTAAAATTGAACCTAAATGAATGTGAAATTGCTACAGTTTGCATTTATTCCATTTAAGTGTGAATAGTTGTATGTTTTGTTGCAGAAATATTATCATTAGTGTCCAAGTTGCTTACCAGTTATATGATGTATAATGAATGTATGCTCCTTACTAGCTTTCTAAAATACAACAAATTCTGACTACAAGCTACATTTGGTCCATGAGGTTTTCACATAGAGAATTATAGAATCTTATTATCCCATTATTTTACACAAATTATCTCATTACATCTCATTAAGTTGATATTATTCTTATTTAACCAATGAGGAAATCAAAGCTTTGAGTGGTTAAGTATATTGCCAAAAGTCATATAACCAAATAATAGATGGGAACCAGGATTTATATCTTCAAGAAAAATTTACTGAACATCTACTTTCTGCTAAATACTGTTTCAAATATTATAGTGGTGAATAAAATGTCAAAAAACAATTCCTGCTCTTATTAAATTTACAATTAGGACAGGAGCAAGCAATGAACAAATATGTAAGTAAAATATAAAGAGCATCATATGGTGATAAATATTTAGAGAAAAATAAAGTGGCAACGGGGAACAGAGACTGGAAGGGGAGGCTTGTTAGGGTGATTAGGAAAGGGATCACAAGTAAGGACTCACAACTCACTTGTACGACTTGAAAATCCTGTTCAGAACCTGAATAAAAAAGGTGCCTCCTCAGACTCCAGAATAACCATCTTCTTCCTTCCAATTTGTTTTTTCCAATCAGTGTTTAGACAGACTTTCTTACCTTCTAGATATTTTCAAAGGTTGGTTTTGGTGCCCAGAACATGCGTTCTCTGCCTCTTTTCTTGCTAAGTTTCCATCACTTCTTCAGACCTCAGCTTAGCTGTTTCTCTTCTCCAAAACACAAGTTCCTCAAGACTGGGTTTGGTGACCCTCTTATAGCCTCTCAAAGCTTGAAGAACTTAGCCCTATGCCAGCAATTACCACACCATACTACAATTACTGTTTACTTGTCCGAGTTCTTTTTTTACAGGCCCCTTGAAGGTAGACACTGTCTTGTTCACTGTATGTGTTGACAGATGGATGGATGACTGATTCAATTTGAGGGCAGAAATGGTGAGGTTCCAAAAGTAACTTTTGGACTAAAGGTAGTAAGTGCTATAATGAAAATGTAGTTGGCATCAAAACTCAATTTGGAACAGAGGAGAACTACAAAATAAGGAACAGAGCCAAGAATATGACACACACTGCCTGAATGTAGAAAACAAAAGATAGTAAACGAAACACTGAACAATACTCAGATCATTTCTATTTGGTTTGACTAAGATGTTTAATTATGGACCACATTAACCCTCTAAATTTGTTCTGTTGATAAATTTTGAGCACAAATGGCTAAGCAATAGAAAAAGGCAGCTCAGGAAGGGGCTGCTGGATAGTACAGAGAAATTAGGTTGGAATTTACAATCCTCTAGAGATGGGTCAAAAAGGTAAAAGAATTGCCACAATGAGAAAAAAAAGTAGGAAAAACAATTAATTCATTAATTCTTAGCTGTATCTAGCTCTGTCATATCTTCCTTGAACTAAATTTTTCATCATATCTTAAAGGAGAAATCTTTGAGAAACCAGCAGAGAGGTACGAAGCTGATGCCACCAATGGAAAGCTGAAGGCTGTCTATGTATATCAAGTTAATACTCCAAATACACTCATTTTCCTAATTTTTCACACCTGACTGAGAAAACACCATTCATATACTTATTTTAATTAATATTTTTGTTCATCATGCTCCTTTTTACTAGCTAAAATGTATTGTCACACTTTTAACAGTTTGCTCCTTACTGAAAGATTCAAACCTTTTTCTCCATCCTCACCAAAGAATTTTTTAAAAAGGGAAGAAAGAAAAAAAGAAAATAAATTAAAAAGAGGTAACCCGTTACCTACCCTGGAAGGAAATATTGTGAAATATTTCACAAGGCACAAAGATCTGTCTGGGGGTTCAATGATGGAGAAGTATGTCTGGCTCAGGCTTCATATCTTTATATGTATGAAAGCACAGTGGGCAGGGGAGGACAGTCTTCTTTCAGTTCTTTTTCAAAACATGTTATAGCTGATTATTTAAATAAATTCCATGTATAATTGGTGTTTAGGGAAATACTTGTTTATGCTTGGAGGCAAAGGATTATTATATAAGTTTAACAAGATAACTTCATTTAAAGAACTTAAATCAAATACTAATAAAATCCCCCTAATTCACATGACTGAATAGCTGTACAGATGTGTTCTGAATTGATAAATATAATGATGACCCAATTAATGATATTGCACTGATCTTGCAAATGTTAAAATTAAAGATGGGCTCTTTTTAATGAGATATGAAAAACCTTTTCAAGTTAGATTGATGATTGACCTTTTTCTCAGTAATTTTTCAATGCCACTCAAAGACAATAAATAGTGCTTAGTTTCGTAGAATGTTATTTTTACAAAGTTGCATGCTTTGTCTTCCCTGTTACTGTAAGCTAGCTTACTTATGCAATGGATGCAGTATTATTGCATGGCTTCTCCCACTGAGCCAAATTGTTACCGAGCAACTTGTTTGCATAACTGTGCTAACCAACAAGATAATACGGCTTTCTTCAGAAAAATCCCATGTTTGGGTTAAAAAAAAACCCCTGAAAAAAACCCCCAAAACATACCACACATAAATGTTTGCTGGTGATCTGCTACCTTATTAAGGCAACATTTAGGAAGGCTAATGTAATGAATAAGTGTTCCATGACTGAGCTAAGCAAATCTTATAAAAGTATTAATGGAAATATTTTGGATAAGTTAGGGATTCTATTAAAGAATGTCCCAATCATATTTAGTCCCCCAAGGAAAACTAAATTACATTTATTTAATGAAAAATGTATAATAAAATTACTGACCAAAGAAATAATCTCTAATATGGGTATATTAATATTTCTACCTGATAAGAATTCATGGTCTCAAAACATAGCTGGGTCCCAAAAATGCTAAACAGCAATGTTTCCATTCCCTTTGCTTTTTCCCTCTACAAATATTTCATACTTTCACTACTCTCCTCAAGCTTTCAATCTCATCTCTTTTCTTATAGTTCTCAAAGGATAACCTCCTCTTCAACTCCACAGAAAATACAGAAGACAACCAACAGAAACTCCCTCAACATTCTGTTTACACCTAGCCAACTCTACTGTATACGAAGTGTATCTGCACCTACCACCATCTCTCATTCATGTAATGCCCCCTAAATACTAAAACAGAGATAGAAAAACGAAGAGCTGCTCTCCCTACCTCACTTCTACCACACCTTGAATTACTCCTCTCTCCCTTTCAAGGCTAGGGCACCGGAAATTAAGGAAAAAAAATTTAAAAAAAAATAACACCAGATTTAGGAATATTCCTGTTTTCCAAAAGTTTCAACTATATTTTTAAATGATATTTTCAAATACATTAGTGATTCTATAGTCTTTCTTTAAAAAAAAATCACAATGATTCTAAATAAAAATCACGTGTATACAGTTTATTTAGGTCTTTCATTGAGAATATGTTCTCCCCCTAAAAGTAATTTCGGCAAGAAAATACAATTTGTTTTCAGTTACATGGGGTTTCATGGAATGTCATTCAACACACTGTTTAATTAAAGCTTTTTCTTTTAAAAAATCAAAAATAAGCATCATGTATGCATGTAATTCGCTTACTCAACCTTCTCTGACATAATACTACAATTTTAAAAGTGTTTAGCAATATTACTTATATTCTAAAAGTACTTCACTACCACTCATGCAAATCAAACACCCTTTACCACAGCTTTACAATGATCGGGGATTCTTTTAAATTAAGCTTTAGCATCTACACATATAGGAAAAAAGCAAAATATAAATGATTGCTATTTGATTTGAAATTATTTTAATTTCAAATTAAGGTGAGTAAAAATGAACTAAAAAGCAAGAATGGAAAAAAAAGGGTAAGGAAAGAAGAATGAAAGAAATAACAGGGCAAAAGAGAGAAAGAATCTAAATTCTTTTACCTACTCTTCCCTTGAGCTAGTTCACGGTATTATAATTCAGTCTACTGTATGAATTATCTGCTTAATCACTCACTGTTCAGAGTCCTTCATCCTTACACTTTGTTTCCCTAGCGAGCAGCATTAATACATCAATTCAGCTTTCTAAAGCTGTAGCAGGAATTACCAGTATTTTCTCTAGTTTCAAAATCAGAGGTTCATCTTATTTCCAGAATTTTTTAAAAATTATAAAATTAGTAAAGTCAAATCTCTAAAACCTAGTTCATAATTTTTTAACTCTACCTAATTCTTCTGCTTTAAGTGGAAGTGTACCATGAGGTAAAACTAAAACACTGAGACAAAATAGTCAGGGAAAAAAAAAGAAAGAAAAAAAAAGAAGTAGGGTGTTGGGGAGGCTGGGTAAAAAAGGGATTAAGCAAAGGGGGAAAAAACCCCAAAAAACCTCACAGACACTGACAACAGTATGGTGATTACCAGAAGAAAAAGGGGTGGAGGTAAGTAGAAGAGGGTAAAAGGGAAGTAAATGGTGACAGAAGACTTGACTTTGCTGATGAATGCACTAATACTGTGTATTAGTTCTCTAATACACAGTAAAGATATAAACAGGAAAAAAGACTATCCTTCATTAATTTAAGTAGGAAATTTAAAATGCTGTTACTATTGTCCTCAGTTTTTCTCTCACATAAAATTTCTTCTGCTTTCATGTATAATGAAGTCACTCCAGAAAAAGCCTAGCCATTGTTAATGTAACAAGAATGGTTTGTGTAACATCAATGTAACCTGGCAGCCAAGAAGAGTGGACTGGAATGCACATATGTGAACAACGATGACCTCACCACTGTACTAGTCAGTGGGGGCAGTAGATGCCATTGAGTGAGCATGTGTACTGTTTGGCCGTCACATTTAAGATATCTGAGGGAGTAGAGCAACAAATCTTTGTCAAATTTTGTATCAGGCTTGAACATTCCTTTACAGACACTATTTGGATGATTTAGAAGGCTGCAGCTATGCGCAACTGGTGAATGGCAGCTTCTCCACTACAATGCACCAGCTCATGCATCACGTCTCATGCAGAGTTTTTAGGCGAAACATAAATCACCCAGCTGCCTCAGACCCTCTACAGCACAGCTTTGGCACCCTGCAACTTCTGGCTTTTCCCAAAACAAAAATCACCTTTGAAAGGGAAGAGATTTCAGACCGTCAATGAGATTTAGAAAAATATGACAGGGCAGCTGATGGTGACTAGAAGAATGTGTGAGGCCCCAAGGTCCCTACTTTTTATGGGACTGAGGTGTCATTGTCCTATGTGCAGTGTTTCTTGTATCTTTTTCAAAATGTCTCTATTTTTCATAGTACATGGCTGGATACCTTCAGGAAAGACCTCATATATATAACAAAATAATTCTATTCTCTTTCAATGTTTTATCTAAATACTACACTATGTCAAAAAGTTGAAATAATTTTCCTCAAAAATAATCATCCAGAAGTACTCACACAAAAAAAAAAGATGAAACATTCCATAGAGATGGTATTTAATAGTCTGATTTTATAAAGAATATAAAACATAACACAACCAGAGTTGAATTCCTTGATGTCTATTCTTCTACTGAATTATAATTCAAACACTTTCTTTTTAAGGTACTATAGCATTTAAAAATTGCATTAGCAGCAAATGTCACTGAGAAATAAGTCACAGTTAGTCCTACCTGAGAACTCCATCTACTTGATCTTTGGTGTATCCTTTTCCACCATCGCCACTACCAGATGAGCTGTCCTTTGTGCAGTTAGGCTTCCTTTGATCGGCACTACCTGATGGTTTTCGGCAATGAGGGCTATTTCCAGCGGTGCTTCCATTTTTCATCATTATTTCCAATAGTGCTGTAGAAAAATACAGAAAGCATACTATGCCTGTTCACATTAAGGTACATATACATGATCTTGAGAAGAACAAAAGAACTCCAAAATTACCAATAGGGATTTTCTATATAGCACAGCAGGCAAAATTGATAAAAGTGATAAAAAGGACTGGGTTTTGCTTGTTACAATAGCAAGTGGGTTCATAATAAGCTCTGAAGGGCAGACTCTCAAAACTAATCAGTCACGGATCTCTTCCAGAACAAAGCCATATCAAGGAGAAACTACTGGGAACAGTACTCAAACTGAAGAGGGCAGGGGCAATAGAAAAAAAGGAAAGAAAAACTCCAGATAAATGGGAAAAGAGAAAGGAGTGAGATCTTATATAGCAAGGTGATACACAGGGTCCAGCACAAATAATGCCCCCTTTTTTATGAGCTGGTAATCTATACCAAATCTATTAAAAATCATAAGCATGTATTTCTGTAACATAACCATATCTCACACTCAAGCACACCATATGACATTTTAGTGAAATGTTCCCACTGCTGTTCATCTTGTGTGAGACATTCACATACCCTACCAACCATGTTCAATGGCATTACTTCTACCAGAGCCTATATTTTCAACCGTTATACAAAAAATGAAGAGTCTCTGTGTATTTTGAAGGGCTAATTACACGCAAAAATGTGTGAAAGAAAATGAGAGAAGTGAAAGCTGATACAAAGTTATTATAAGAAAAAAGAGAATAGGAATAAATCTCTGAACAAAATAAATACACACCACAAAGACCTGCTGACAAAACAGGTAAACAATATAACCTACTACTCCAAGCCACACTGAAAAAACTTTAAGAAATTACACATTATACAAAGTAATAGCATAAATTAGAACTAGGACAATCCCCAAAAGTATTTATCCATAAGAGATAAAAAATCAATGAAAAATGACTAAATTAGAAGAAACAAGGAGTTACCGAACACAACAGATGTTGTCTATGTCAAAGAGAATATATAGAAAGTAAAAATATTTTAAATGACAAAGACAAAAAATTAGAATGAAAACGGCAAATATTAAAGATAGTAAAAGATGATCCAACATACATACACTAGGAGTCCTAATGGGAGAAAGAAACCTTAAGAATATTGACCCAGATTAATGAACATCAAACTATAATCTAATAAAATTAACTGGGCTTTTATGCAAAAAGATAAAATGACTTATGAGGGAAAGAAAAACAGATTGTTATCAGCCTTTGCCCATCAACAGTAAATACTTGTCCAAAACAATGGAATAACATGCTTAGATAGCCAAAGGGAAAAAAAAAACGGAGCCAAGGATTTCATATCCACCTAACTTTAAGCATTAAAACCACAGATCAACTGTTTTTAATATTCCAGAACTTACTGAGCATAGTTCCCATAGGCTCTTCCTAGAAATCCAACAAGCGTCAGGAATCCAAAGTATTTAGATTTACACAAGGACTGATGGGGACCATTATATATCTAGTGACCTACAGAGATTAGGCTGAATGATTTAAAAAGAGAGTATACAGTAAGTAATATGTTCTGATAGTCTAAACAGGTTGAAATATTTTTTTCTTAATAGTGAGCTTACTCAGTCTTTTTACTTGAAAAAATATATACATTGACCTTCTCTTCTCTTCCTTTTAGCAGTTTAGGCCTGGAAGGTTATTGAGACCAAGGTAGCAGTCACAGCCAAAAATAAGGCTAAGTTTGATGCAGCCTGCACCAATGGGGTCAAGGAGGAACTCATTATGTATAGGGGGAATTGATTAAATAAACTGAAGATAATAGGAGTAACGTTTTTCACTGTTGGAGAATGGAATTATAAATATGAAAATGCGCAAGGCTCGAATGAACTCTGTGGTAGATTTTAAAGAGAGGTTTGTGACTTTCATGCAGATACCAAAATGAACATAGATTAAATCACTATAGATGTGTATAGTCCCACATACGAACACATATAACACACAGATATACACACACATAAACAGACATACATGCATTCATACATACATATATTTTCCTAGCTCTGTCTCCTAAAGAGGCCTAGGGGCAATGACATCCCTGTTGCAATGAGTTTATCTAGTATTTATATGTTTCCAAGTAAAAACAATTAGGGCTTCTTAGAGGAACAACTGATTCCCAGGGTAGAAAACAAAAAGTGGGCTTAAAAAAGTTTTTGTGCTATAAAGTAGAGATGCTTGAAAAATAATGAGGACATGTCAAAAAGACAGAGGGTTCCTGCTGACTAAATCTGAGGAAACCTGAACCTCAAAATAAATTATAGTAGTGGATTAAATAGGAATCCTTAAATCCATACTAATAAATTGAATAGGTTGAATGCCAACTAATAAATCGCAGAATGAATAACAGAATTAGAAAATTACCATTTGATGATGGAGACATAGGTGGAAACACTGTACCTTCTCACACAACCAAGTTTAAAGACAATAAAGTTTTAGTAACAAAAAACACAGTCAAAACACAGAAAACTGAACTATATGGAAGTCCGAACAACGAACCCTTCAGCCAGACCGGTAAGAGGGGCGGAGCCAGCAACTGGTGGAGCGAGGTTTCGCAGGAAAAATCCTCCGGACCTACCCAGGTGCTCGGGTGGTGGTTGGCAGATCCCAGGTATAGGGTGGCACCAGGCAGACCCAGTGAGGGCGCAAGGCGGCAGGCTGACCACGGTCACACATTCACATGCAGATAAACCAGGCGAAGGAGCGAGCAGTGAGGCAGACTGCACAGACTCCAGCAGTGGGAAGCAGCAGAGGGGACCACTATTGACCCTCTCTGACCCCGCCCCCACATACAGTGTCACAAACTAGCGACCTGAGCGGCCCCACCCTGGTAAACAACTAAGGCTCCGCTCCTCACATGTAACAGGCACAAACAGATCAAAACATGGCTCAAGAACAACTCAGAGCCCCAGAGCCCATAACTCTAAGCAACCAAGAAATAGCCAAACTTTCAGATGCACAGTTCAAAACACTGGTGATCAGGATGCTCACAGAACTGGTTGATTTTAGTCACAAATTAGAGGAACAAATGAAGGCTAAACTAATTGAAATGAAGGGAAATGCACAGGAAACCAATTGTAATGGAAAGGAAACTGAGACTGAAATCAAGGGAGTGGACCAGAAGGAAGAAAAAAATGACCAAACAGAAAAATAGGAAGAAACAAGAATTCAAAAAAATGAGGAGAGGCTTAGGAACCTCCAGGACATCTTTAAACACTCCAACAACCGAATTATAGAGGTACCAGAAGGGGAAGAAGAACAGCCATGAGTGGAAAACTTATTTGAACAAATAATAAAGGAGAATTTCCCCAATCTGGCAAAGGCAATAGACTTCCAGGAAATCCAGGAAGCTCAGAGAGTCCCAAAGAAGTTGGAACCAAGAAGGAACACACCAAGGCACATCATAATTACATTAGCCAAGATTCAAATGAAGGAGAGAATTCTAGAAGCAGTAAGAGATAAGAGGACAGTCACCTACAAAGGAGTTCCCATCAGACTGTCAGTGGATTTCTCAAAAGAGACCTTATAGGCAAGAAGGGGCTGGAAAGAGGTATTCCAAGTCATGAAATCCAAAGACCCACATCCAAGATTGCTCTAGCCAGCAAAGCTTTCATTTAGAATGGAAGGGCAGATAAAGTGCTTCTCAGATAAGATGAAATTTGAGGAGTTCATCATCACCAAGCCCTTGTTATATGAAATGTTAAAGGAGCTTATCTAAAAAAAAGAAGATTAAAAAGATGAACAGTGAAAGGACAGCAAACTCACAGTTATTAACAACCACACCTAAAACAAAAGCAAACTAAGAGGACAGCTAGATCAGGAGCAGAACCATAGAAATGGAGATCACATGGAGGGTTAGCAACAGGGGAGTGGGAGGAGGAGAAGGGGGGAAAAGGTACAGAAAATAAGTAGCACAGACAGTAGGTAGAAAACAGACAGGGGGAAGGGCAAGAATAATATAGGAAATATAGAATCTAAAGAACTTGAGACACGTGGTCATAAACTAAAGGGGGGAAATGGTGGGGGAGGGGGTGTGCAGGGTGGAGGGGAATGAAGGGAGGAAACAGAACAACTGTGATGGCATAATCAATAAAAAAAATCTTAAATGTTAGTACACCTATGAAAAAGCTCAACTTTCAAAAAAAAAATTACCATTTGAGTCCTGGCTGGAGTGGCTCAGTGGATTGAGTGCTGGCCTGTGAACCAAAGGGTCACTGATTTGATTCCCTAGTGGGCCGGGTACCCACTAGGGGACATTCCAGAGGCACGTACACATTGATAGTTTTCTTCCTTCTTTCCCTCCTTTTCCCTCTCTAAAAATACATAAATCTTAAAAAAAAAATTGCCAGTTGACGAGTATCAGAAATTTAACCATGAAAAAATCATCAATGAATGCTAAAAGGTGTTGGTGAAAGTACGTTATGTAACAGAACATTTACATAGTCTCAAAGTATTCCCCCACAAACTATTTATTAATTATAAAGTAAAAAAATAAGTAAGTTTTTAGAGTGGAGAAACCTGGCATCACCAACTTAATCAAGTGATCAAAGTTAACCTCACAAATAAGGACCAAATCAACATAATGTGTCTCCTAATATGTTATACTAAGAAAATATCACTTCTATGGTACTTTTGCCCCAAATTTCTATGTGGAAATGTCAAAACCAAACTGAGGGAAATTGTATAAAATGAGTGGCCTGTATTTATCAAGAAAGCAAAGTAAAGAAGAGAAAAGCTGTATATGGAAAATAAAATATGTCCATAAGTGCAACTTGTATTCTCTTTGCTACCAAAGATACAATGGGAAGGACTGGCAGAATTTGAATGAAGTACATGTATTAACTTCATGATTTGATGGTTATATTGTGGTTATGTTTGGAGAATAGCCTTGTCTTAGAAAACATACAATGAGTTATTTAAGGGTAATGGGACATCATGCCTACAACCTACTCTTAATTAGTTCAGAAAAAAATAT